CAGCGAGCACCTAAACCAACAGCCAGTCTGTAGCAGCGAACACTTAAACCAACAGCCAGTCTGTAGCAGCGAACACTTAAACCAACAGCCAGTCTGTAGCAGCGAGCACCTAAACCAACAGCCAGTCTGTAACAGCGAGCACCTAAACCAACAGCCAGTCTGTAACAGCGAGCACCTAAACCAACAGCCAGTCTGTAACAGCGAGCACCTAAACCAACAGCCAGTCTGTAACAGCGAGCACCTAAACCAACAGCCAGTCTGTAACAGCGAGCACCTAAACCAACAGCCAGTCTGTAACAGCGAGCACCTAAACCAACAGCCAGTCTGTAACAGCGAGCACCTAAACCAACAGCCAGTCTGTAACAGCGAGCACCTAAACCAACAGCCAGTCTGTAACAGCGAGCACCTAAACCAACAGCCAGTCTGTAACAGCGAGCACCTAAACCAACAGCCAGTCTGTAACAGCGAGCACCTAAACCAACAGCCAGTCTGTAACAGCGAGCACCTAAACCAACAGCCAGTCTGTAACAGCGAGCACCTAAACCAACAGCCAGTCTGTAACAGCGAGCACCTAAACCAACAGCCAGTCTGTAACAGCGAGCACCTAAACCAACAGCCAGTCTGTAACAGCGAGCACCTAAACCAACAGCCAGTCTGTAACAGCGAGCACCTAAACCAACAGCCAGTCTCTTAGCTGCTCAGTCTGTGAGAGGCTGCTGAGAACCAGTGGGTTGCACTAGGGGAGGAGGAGCACTAAGAGCAGATGCTGCACAGACACCAAGAACCGTCGGCCCCTCCCAGCCGAGTGGAGTTCCCGTCAGTCTCTGTGCCTTTGGCTTGTGGAATTGGTCTGAAACGAAACAGCACCTTGGAGATCCCTTCGTGTGGTGGTGAAGCCTCTCCTCAGAACTCCTTGGGCAGCGTGCAGTTCTCCCTTGGAACGCCAGGTGGCACATGGACCTTTTGGGCTTGCCTGGCCTTTCTTTTACTGCGCAGTCTGGGGGATGCAACAATTCGGAGATGAGCTAATGTTCCTGGTTCTGAACTCCTGGCCATGCTCCCTGCAACACAATCCTGGGGACAGCGGGAAGATGAAACACTGAGGTGGCAGCACCATGATGCACCCGTGGCAGCTTTACAAACGCTGTGAAATTAATGGGGGGGAGCCGTGTTAGTCTGTAACTTAGTGGCCCTGAAGCAACTTGGAGACTGAGACAGATAGATAGAAGGGGTGCGTGGGGAGGGAGGGACGGCTGGCAGGGGTGCGTGGGGAGGGAGCGACGGCCGGCCGGCTGGCAGGGGTGCGTGGGGAGGGACGGCCGGCC